GCCGCAGGCGCCCTCGGGCCCCCCGGGGCAGGGCCACCCTCAGCACATGCAGCAGATGGGAAACTACATGGCGCGGGGGGATTTTTCGATGCAGCAGCACGGGCAGCCGCAGCAGCAGAGGATGAACCAGTTTTCTCAAGGCCAAGAAGGCCTCAATCAGGGAAACCCTTTCATTGCCACCTCAGGACCTGGCCACTTGTCTCACGTGCCCCAGCAGAATCCCAGTATGGCACCTTCTTTGCGACACTCGGTCCAGCAATTTCACCACCATCCCCCCACTGCTCTCCATGGAGAATCAGTAGCCCACAGTCCCAGATTCTCCCCTAATCCTCCCCAGCAGGGTGCTGTTAGGCCGCAAACACTTAATTTTAGTTCTCGGAGCCAGACGGTACCCTCACCTACTATAAACAACTCAGGGCAGTACTCTCGATATCCTTACAGTAACCTTAATCAGGGATTAGTTAATAATACAGGGATGAATCAGAATTTAGGCCTTACAAATAACACTCCAATGAATCAATCTGTACCAAGATACCCAAATGCTGTCGGATTTCCATCAAACAGTGGTCAAGGACTAATGCACCAGCAACCCATCCACCCTAGTGGCTCACTTAACCAAATGAACACGCAAACTATGCACCCTTCACAGCCTCAGGGAACTTATGCCTCTCCACCTCCCATGTCACCTATGAAAGCAATGAGTAATCCAGCAGGTACACCTCCTCCGCAGGTTAGACCTGGTAGTGCTGGAATACCAATGGAAGTTGGCAGTTATCCAAATATACCCCATCCTCAGCCGTCACACCAGCCCCCTGGTGCCATGGGAATTGGACAAAGGAATATGGGCCCCCGAAACATGCAACAGAATCGTCCGTTTATGGGTATGTCTTCAACACCACGGGAGATGGGTGGGCACATGAGACCAAATGGTTGTCCAGGTGTTGGCCTTGCAGATCCACAAGCAATACAAGAGCGACTAATTTCTGGCCAGCAGCTTCCTAGTCAACAGCAGTCTTTTCAACAGCAAATGCCAACCTGTCCTCCCATGCAGCCTCATCCAGGGATACATCATCAGTCTTCACCACCCCCACATCCTCATCATCAGCCTTGGGCACAGCTTCACCAGTCACCACAAAACACACCACAAAAAGTGCCTGTCCTTCAGGTAAGCTACTTCCAATGAGTAGAGAAATGTTTTCTGTGAATGCTTTTCAGGACACGCAAGATCTGTGGTTTCAACATAGTTGCTCCCATTTGACTCCTCAGTTTGTTACTGGTTACGTGGCTTGCTTGATGTGCAGAAGCTGAAGGTAAACTGAGGTTCAGGCAGCTTGCTAATGTCCTCATGGCAATTTTTGCAGGATAACATTATGGATAGACCGAAATATGATACAGCAACAGGACAAGCTGAACACTTGCTTTTTTTGTGTGTGTTGGCTCCTTTGAGGGGAAAACAAAATACATGTGTGGCAATTGTCATTTAAACCATTATTTTTTCTATTTGCAACTTGGAGAAAAGTGTGTATTCCGATCTGTTTGTTTTGGCCAAACCAAGGGTTTTCTTGAAATCCTAAGGGAATGTCTTTTGGTTTTAAGCTAAAGCTGAAATTTTTACTTGTGAAAAACTTTCCAGAATGAATTTCTTCAGCACTAAGTAATGCAACTGAGAGGCGATGGGGCAACAATTCATGCAAGGAGAAGACCAAGGTCAGGTTGGACAGGGCTCTGAGCGACCTGCTGTAGTTGAAGCTGTCCCAGCTCTCTGCAGAGGGGTTGGACTAGACAAGCTCTAAAGGTCTTTTCCAACCCAAACTATTCTACTCTAAGACAGATGTGAATCATAGTCTGAAATCAAATCTTGTGAGGCCAAAACGAAATCTCAGTTAGGATGAAAGTTTTGTTTTACTGAGTTTCTGATCTGCTGGGTTTTAATGCAAGCGTATTGCTTCCAACTTCATTTTCCAATTAAAAGCTAAAAATGGTAAAACATCTTGATCCTCCATAGCTTAGCAAGTTTGAGTACGTGCTAGTATGGTAAGCTTCAGCTTAAAGTGATTTTTTGGGCTCTTGGTGTTTGCCATTGCTTGCCCCTGTCGGTCATCTTTTGAGGGGTTTTGGTACTGGATGAATAGGTGGTCAAGGTATCAGGAGTTTAGATTATTTTGTAATTAATCCCGAGCAGCTCTGCCCATAAACGTTTGGAGACAGTTATTGGAATGTGTTCGTAACGCTGGGAAGCTGCAGTCAGCTCAATAAATCACAGAGGCAGGTGTCCCGGGCGGCGGCTGCCTGCCGGCTGCTCCTCCGGGCTGCCCCGCGCAGCCTGGGGGGTGTGCTGCAGGGAGCCAGCTGGCGAGGAGTGCTGGATGGAGCAGCTCGGCAGCTGGGAGAGGCTTCCACCTTCCCTGTGGAAGCGAGGAGGGGCAGCCGGAGAGTGAGGAAGGCCTGGGAAGGAGTTCAGGGACTAAGCTGAAGGATTCTCTCTTTGAGAGGGAGGAGGGAGCTCTGCTCTTGAAGGGGCAAAGAACGTTTTGAAGACCATCTTTCTGTCCCGCTCAAAATTGGTGTGAATTGTATACCTGTGTTGGCCGTTCCTCTCCCCCTGCATCCGTGCATGGGCTTTGTCTAGAGAACCTAAACTGCAGTCCTTGCACGCACATGGAGTTGTGTGTTCCTCCTTGAGAGAGCAGCTCTTGAAGTGCCTCTTGTGGTACCAACTGTGTGGGTAAGCAGGATAAAAAAGGAGAGAACTCAACTCGGTATGAAAGAACCCAAGGGAATGAGCAGGTATTTGGCAAGTGGGTGACAACGTGGAGAAATCAGTATGGAGAGACTGTGGATCAGAAAAAGTGCAAGATGTGTGTTTGGTTGGTTTTTTACCCTGATGATGAGAGCTGATGCATCTAGCAGAAAAAAACTTGAAAGAATATTGTAGAAATGGTAACTAAAGAATTCTAAGAGTGTAAAGGAACAAAACGCAGTGTCCCTGGGATCTTCCATAACTGATGATGGTGGGGGTGTGGGAAAAGACTACTTCAGATCAACTGTGAACTAAAGCTGTGGTGTTCTTTACCAGCGTTAATTTCTTGTTTGTCGATGGTCAGATGAAAACCTCTTTTGGCAGCCAGAGATGGTTTGGGAGGAGAAGGTTTACTGGTAGTGGTGGACAGTCTGGTTAAACATTCTCAGCATGTTCATTTTGCCTTTAATCGGTGCAAAGATAGGACACGGGCAGCTCAAACCTTAAATGAGCTGTGCAGCCTGCTACAAAGTTCTGAACTGCAGTCGAATAGCTTGAACAAAGGTAAGTTCTGAAACAAAATAATTAGAGGAAAACCACATGATAATTCAAGTTATTTGATTAAAATCAGTAATTCAAACAGTTGTAGCTAGCCAAATAACTTCTGTTAGCCTCCTTCTGTTAAGTTTTTATTTGGTAAGTTATTGCTAACATACTTTCCCATTAAGTAATTAGTTTGAGACCTGATTGTAGTAATGAAACTTTTGACAGGCAGAAAACTGTTTGGATGAAATAAATGCCGTTGAAGTCAATGAGAACCCAACTCCTCCCCACCCCCCGGGGAAAAACGCAGATGTGCGAAACCCCTGCTCTTGAGACTGAGCACAGAATTCGTAGCTCTCCTCTCTCTGGTGGTTTTCCCTTCACGTCAGTTGGCAGATTCACTGAAGAACAGTTATTTAAATGACTGGTTTGTTTTTATTTGTATAAAATGTATCAACGAAATGAATATAGTCAGTGAAATGGAAATCGCTATGTACTTTTAAATCAACAGAAGCCATCTTAGTAATTATTTTCCAGTGATTTGAAGCTGGCCTTATCATGGGAAGGCTGTAATAGTTGTGGTTAACCAAATTACTGTTTTGTTTTTAGATATGTTGGAAGGAAAGTGAAGTTCTTTTGCTTTTAACTTAAAAAAAAATGCCATGCTGTGCCGATTCTAGGGCTTGTTATTTCTCTTTTTCTTCTTGTGTGTGTGTGTAGAGCTGCTGATTATTTTGGCTTGGAGATAGACAATTCAGCTGGTTCAGATTAATAGCCAAAGACTAGACATGGTTATTAGGACCTTGTTTGCAGTGAGCTGGTGGCTTCAGTGGAGTTTGATTCCCAAGAACCACTGTAGCGATGGAACATTCCATCAGTGCGCTTGGTCTTTCAAGCCCTCTTTGGAAACGTTCTTCACCAAAGGCTTTTGGAGGAGCTTGGTGGACGTGGGGTGAGAAGGTGACTGCTGCTGTGGCCAGATAATCAGCTAAGGTGCAAGACAGAGGTGGCTTGCTCGTTCTCACAGTGGAGGTACCTGTTTGGCTTTTGAGCATGTGCTCTTCAAAACACCTGTAAATGATCTGGAGAAGGGTGAAAAGTTGGATGGCAGAGTTTGCTGCTGCTGTTAACAGACTCAAAGCTGAGTGACAAGCGTAGATGTGGTCAAGAGCCTAGCCGTTACGGAACCAAAAAATGAGAAATAGAG